GGGAGGGGGAAGGAAAATGGGGGAGGGGAGAGGAAAAGGGGGAAGTAAGGGGGAAGGGGGAAGGAGAAGGGAAAAGGGAGAAGGAAAAAGGAAGAGGGAGAAGGAAAAGGAGGAAGAAAGAGGGAAAATGGAGCAAAAAGGGAGAAGAAAAAGGAAAAGGGAGAAGGACAAAGGAAAATGGGAGAAGGAGAAGAGGGAAGGAAGAGGGAAAAGGAGGAAGAGGGGGAAGGAAGAGGGAAGATGGGAAAGGGGAGGGAACAGGAAGGTAAAAAGGGGAAGAGAAGGGACAGAAAATGGGAAGGAGAAGATAAAAATGGGAAAAGAAGAGGAAAGGAGGAAAAAGACGAGGAAAGGGAGAGGAAATGAGGGAGAAGAAGAGGAAAAGGAGAGGAAATGAGGGAGAATAAGAGGAAAAGGAAAGGAGAGGAAAAAAGGGAAAACGAGGAAAAGAAGAAGAAGAGAGGGGAAAGCAGAGGAAAAGAGAGAGAAGAAGAGGAAAGGAGGAAAAAGATGAGGAAAAGGAGAGGAAAAGGAGAGGAAATGAGGGAAAAGAAGAGGAAAAGGAAGAAAGGAGGGAAAAAAAGAGGGAAAAGAACAGTTAAAGAGGGAAAAGGAAAGGAAAAGAAGAGGAAAGGAGAGAAAAGAAGAGGAAAAGAGGGAAAAGGAAAGGAAAAGAAGAGGAAAGGAGGGAAAAGAAGAGGAAAATAAGAGGAAAGGAGGGAAAAGGAAAGGAAAAGAAGAGGAAAGGAGAGAAAAGAAGAGGAAAATAAGAGGGAGGGGGAAGGGGAAGGAAAAGGGGGGAGGAGAAGGGAGAAGGAAAAGGGAGGAGGGGAAAGGGGGAAGGGAAAGGGGAGGGGGAAGGAAAAGGAAGGGAGGGAAAAGAAGAGGAAAAGGAGAGGAAATGAGGGAGAAGAAAAGGGAAAGGAGAGGAAGGGAGGGAAAGGAGAGGAAAAGAGAGAAAACAAGAGGAAAATAAGAGGAAGAGAGGGAGAAGAAGAGGAAAGGAGATTAAAGAAGAGGAAAGGATGGAAAAGAAAAGGAAAGGAGGAAAAAGAAGAGGAAAGAAGGGAAAAGGAAAGGAAACAAAGAGGAAAGGAGGGAAAAGAAGAAGAAAGGAGGGAAAAGGAAAGGAAAAGAAGAGGAAAGGAGGGAAAAGAAGAGGGAAAAGAAAAAAAAAAAAGAAAAAAAAAAGAAAAAGAGTTAAAGGGAAAAGAGGGGGAAAGGAGAGTAAAGAAGAGGAAAAGAAGAGGAAAAGAGGGAAAAGGAAAGGAAAAGAAGAGGAAGAGAGGAAAAAGAGGGGAAAGAAGAGGAAAGGAGGGAAAAGAAGAGGGAAAAGAGGAGGAAAGGAGGGAACAGGAGCTTCTCTCCCCTTGGCCCCCAGAGCTCGTGGCCGTGGTGTCCGTGACTCCCGAGTCCCCAGCAACAGATCCCAGTGTGTTCCAGAAACGCTACCTGAAGAAGATCCGGGAGCTGGGGGAGGTGAGAGGGGGGCTACTGGGAGAACTGGTCCCCTGGGAAATGCACCCAGGGATGGGATGGGCTTGGAGAGGGTTTGGAAGGAGCTGGGATGGGTTTGGAGGGGCCTGGGATGGG